TGAATTGACGGGCACTTGGGTTTTTTCCACATCCTTGCAATAGTGAATTGTGCTGCCATAAACATTCAGGTGCAGATGTCTGTATTATAGCATATCTTTTGCTCTTTTGGGTAGATGCCTAATAGTGCTATTGCTGGATTGAATGGTATTTCTATTTTTAGCTCTTTGAGGTATTTCCAAATTCTTTTCCACAGAAGTTGCACTAATTTGCAGTCCCACCAGCAGTGTAAGAGTGTTCCTGTCTCTCCACATCCTCGCCAGAATTTGTTGTTTTGGGATTTTTTGATAGAGGCCAATCTCACTGGGGTTAGGTGATATCTCAACCATATCTGGAGGACACAGTCACATCTCTTACAATAATCCCTTCTCCAATGAAAGGCAGGAAACCAACCCTTGGACTTTAACATCCTTGCAGTTTTTGTTGTCTACCTGCTGCTGCTTTTGTTATCAACTGACAGCCATTGCTATTTTTTTTCTCTCTTCATCCCCCTTAAAATCAGTGAGCCACCTGGCCTCACTGCTGGCATCCCCTTCTTTCTTTGGGATGCCATGCTGTCTCCCTGCTCTCTTCCCCTAACCCCTTCCCCCTCTCTTTCTCTGTCTGTGTCTGTCTGTCTGTCTGTCTGTCTCTCTCTCTCTTCTCTAAGAAGGATAAAATAAATTTTTTGATTTACCTTAATCTCTGTGTGAGAAATCTTTCTCCACCTGTGCCATGAACACCTATTAGCCTTTCCACCCTAACAATTTTCAGAGAATTAAATATGATGTTGCCCATACCTGACATCCATTCACAATGGACTGGAAGCCAGAGCCACAGAGCCTATTAACAGTGAGAGCTGGGGTCTCTTTTGGGATTCCCACACGTAAACCAACATGCCTTGCCAAGTAGATAGCATATGTAGAAGTCTGGAACAGAGACAGGAAAAAGAAAAAAGAATTTCCTCTACAAATCTAGGAATTAAGAACAAGTACAAAATACATAGAAATGTTGGCAATCAATTAAAAATGATAAACTATATGGCTCTAGGGTAGGACACAATGCATATAGGTACAGCATATTATACATGTTTATGATTTGAATAAAAACTATAAGTTGGTCAACTGGGTTTTTCCTTTTTATTGTGGTAAAATACACAAAACATAAAATTTATGAGCTTAACCAAATACATGTATTAGATAAACTTCATTCAGGTATGAGTTATGCTGTTGGCTGTGAGTTTAATGTTAATGAATCAACAATATATATTAAATAAGGTGTCTTGAAAGAAAAACACATATAAAACAAAGTTATGTATTGATTGATTAATGAAAATATTGTGACCAGAGGCTCGCAGGAACCCAAACCCTGTATTTCCCCTAGAAGCAATGGTTTAGCAGGATTAGCCTTGTGCACCAGGCCCCAGCAGACCAGACAAAACCAGAATGGAGTCACTTGTGCTAAGTGCTGTGCAATCAAACTGAACTTTGAAACGGGCCAGTTTTCCAAAAAAGCCTAGGAGATTCCAGTCATCCTGAATCAGCATAATAAGGAAGTCCTCCCCTATCCTTAAACTTATAAGGAAAGTAACTTTGACATGACCAATCTGATTTCTGTTCTGTTTCTGCCTGCTTCAGCCCTTTTCTGCTTAAACCAACCTCTTCTGCTCAGCTTATTGGAACACTCATTCTATTTTACAGAATAAGATGTTGCCTGATTCTAGAATGGCAAATAAAAGCCAATTAGATCTTTAAATTTGTTGTAATTTTTGTCATTTAAAAGTATTTGCTAATTCAGTGATCATGGTGACTATATAGAACATAACCACAGTAACAAGAATCAACTGTACTATGAACAGCTATATGCCAAAAAATTAGGTAACTAAGATGAACAAGACAAATTCCTAGAAAGATACATACTACTAAAATTGACTCAAGAAGAAACAGTCAATCTGAATAGACCCAACAAGTGAAGAGATTAAATTAGTAATCAAAAAACTACCCATAACGAAAAGCTCAGACTGGTTTCACCCAGGAATTTTACCAAACATTTAAAGAATTAATACCAATTCTTCACAAACTCATCCTGGAAATAGGAGAGATTATTTCCCAATTCATTTTATGGAGCCAGTTATCCTGACACCAAAACCAGACAAAGACATCGGAAGAAAACTATAGACCAGTATCTCTTATGAATATGGGTGTAAAAACACTTAACAAAATACTAGTAAACTGAATCCAGCAATGTATAAAAAGAATTATACAATATGACCAAGTGGGATTTATCCCAGGAATGCAAGGTTGGTTCAATATCTCAAAATCAATTAATATATCACATATCAATAGAATAAAAAACAAAAATTATATGATCATCTCAGTCAACACAGAAAAAACATTTGACAAAATTCAACACCCTTTCATAATAAAAACACTTAACAAACTAGGAATAGAAGGCAACTTCCTCAATCTGATAAAGGGCATCTATGAAAACCCCACAACTATCATCATATTTAATGTCGAAACACTGTATGCTTTCCCCCTAAGATCAGGAACGAGACAAAGATCTCCATTTCTCATCACGTCTATTCAACATAGGAGACTCTAGCCAGGGTAATTAGGGAAGAAAAAGAAATAAAAAGAATCCATATTGGATTTCATTGTTTCCTAAGAAAAACATAAAACCCATTTATTCCAAGTAATATTTAATAATATTTAACTGAATTAGAAGAACAGCTTTGTGATATCTGTCCAATGTTATTTGAAACCTACTCTGTTATCTTCTAACCATAAAGGCCCAACCCCAAATACTTATCCATTAAGCACTTAACACTCTTACCAGGAAAATGTATTTTGGCCTGTCAGAAAACTTAATGCAAGATAGATTGCCTTTAGGAATAGAGGCATAAACACAATGAAACTGATACTATTTAATATTTACAGTGACTTTTTTGGTAAAGTTTGAGAGAACCCATGCTGGGGAAAAACAGAAGGATTTTAGAGGGGAAAAAGCTCCTTATAAAATAAATTCTAGGAAAAACAAAACCCAAAACCCAAAAGTATCCAACTTCTGTTTGATCTGTTCTAATGCCTTCTTAGGTCAGAGGTAAAATTTCCCCCCAAAAAAGTGGGAAAAAAAAGATGAATTAATATCAAGAATTCTTCATGAAGGTATTTTAGGTTCAACGGACACAACTGTGAAAGAAAAAATGTCACAATGCCTTTTCTGGATGTGAAGATAAACAGTGGCAAGACGGACAGAATCAAATTCAAATTCAAGGCCTGGTGATTGTGTGTCCATTGTTATTCTCTTTTCTTTAGCAACGATCTCATCATTGACGTCTTTTAAAATATAAATATATGTGCGTGTGTATATATATATAAAATCTCCTCCATTAAATTATAACCTCCTTTCGGTTCCCTTTGGGTACTTTATCACCTAAAATAGCCTCTGACTAGGCACCCAATAAATGTTGGTATACTTTGAAGGAATTCCAAGCTTTCACTTACCTGTGTATAAATGATCTACTTTGCACACCACCCGTAGCAAGACAGAGGATAAGCAAGCTTCTTATTTCCTACAACAAATACCGACTAAGCTCCTACAATGTGTAAGAAATTATAAAAGGTGTGTTGTTTTGCTTGGGTTTGCTACCCTCCTTAGGTGGCACAAAGGGAAAACCAATCAACTTCATGTAAGGCAAGGAAGTCAATCTGCAATTTAAGAAACATCAAAATGCATCTCAAGTCAGACACATGTATAGTTTCCAGGATATATCTTGCTTTGAATTACACATGCCATTCATTACCTCTGGAGTCTGAGGATTACTCAAATTACTAAATACCTGTAACTATTATTTTACTTGTTTGCCATTATGATATGTTAAAGGAATTATTTTTAGAAACTGATCAAAGAAAGCAACAGGAGTGAATACCTCCCTCTCCCCTACCAACCTGTGTGACATTGCCTACAACGACACTGTCAACAGTTTCAGGTGGCACTTTGCCAGAAGACAAAGCAGCTTTGGCAGCAAATTCGGCTAAGTCGGTAGCAGTGAAGTCTTTCAGAAGACCTCCGTAAGCTCCAAAGGGCGTTCGCTTAGCAGCCACAATAAACACACCTGTTACAAGGAGGAGAGATTTGTAAACAATCACAGATTAATCAGTGTCCCTAACTTGCTTTAAATAATCTTACTGTGAAACTTTATTGTAAAGTACAATTAGATAACTGAAAATCTTTGTCATGCAACAGTACATAGAATGGGTCACAATCGTGGAAGCAGAGCTTAAGTTATCAGTTGGGCCCAGCGCAGTGTCTCATGCTTGTAATCCTAGCACTCTGGGAGGCCGAGGTGGGAGGATTGCTTGAGCCTGGGAGTTTGAGGTTGCTGTGAGCTTGGCTGATGCCATGGCACTCTAGCCCCAGATGACAGAGTGAGACTATGTCTCAAAGAACAAAGAAAAAGAGATCAGTTTGATCAATGCCCGTATGTAGGTACCAAGAACTTCACTCCATGGTATGATATAAATCCATTCTGGTTAGATAATATTCTTGTTCTCTGATGCTTTACAATGCTAGAGAATTGAAATGCTTCTTTCTTCTATATGCTGGAGTATATTGCCTAGTATTAGAGTCAAAGAATCTCCAGACTAGAAAGCTCCTTGAGGTTGTGTGAGGTCAACCACTCAACATTCAAGAACTCCCTCTAGAAATTCCCTGACAAGAGGTTCTCTCTAACCTCTGCTAGAAAACTTCGAATAAGAAGTCATACTCTACTGCATGAAGCAGCATGCCTATGAATGGACAACATGAACTAATGATTTTTTTTCATACTGAGCTGACTCTGCTTGCCAAATCTTCCATCCACCAATCCTGGTTCTATCCAAATGCATCTCAAGGCAGATAGAGATATAGTTTCTAGAATACATGGTGCTCTACATTTGAATTATATATGCCATTGTTTCTGGAGTCACAGGATGACTCAAATTACAAATTTCAAATAACATGAGCTATTTATCTTTTACTATTATCTTTTATCCTTCGAAAAATATGGGCAAAATGGGTCACCTTTTACATGTGTAGCCCTTCCAGTATCTGGAGTCAGCTAACCTATAAAATTCCCCAGACCTTACATTACAACTCTTTTCCCAGGTAAATAAAAAGCAATTCTTTCAATAGTTCTTTATTTGACATTAATTCTGATTGCTGTCCTCTAAAGACACTCTAGAATTTGTCAACATCTTATTAAAATGTGCCACCTAGAATATAACAAAATACCCCACATTTTATAGAACCACAAAGAATATAGGGGAATTATCTACATGTTAATACAAACTAAGACTACACATTTGTAGCATCACTATCAGTTAAACCAGGGTCCTTTTACAAATAAATAGTATCATCCCTTCCCAATCACCTGCTGCCATCTGCCAAAAAAACTTGTAACTATCCAAGTCTATAATGACTATGATGTGAGTGATACTGATTAGAGCTGTACAGTACAAAATGTACACATTAGTAAGCAGCATCGGTGGTAGCAGTTTTATCAGACTGACATTCATTCATCACCTATTAAATACTACACATTTTATCCTTTCCACACAATATATAATCTTTCCAACAACTCAAGATAAATATTATAGCTAACATATAGGGGACACTTTGCATATAATAACTTTATTCTCCCCAAAACAATCTAAGTGCACAATTCCACATCTTGTCAAGAAATTATGGGACTTTTAGCAATGGGTCTGTGCTAAGATATTGACCCATAGCAGACTATTCATTATACACTATTGGTACCTAAGTCCAATCCTCCAGTTTATGTCTATGATTTCTTTCCATGGAACAAACTAAAACCTAGGTTAAAAAAATCTCAGCCTCTCTTTTCATTTCTACTTTTAAGAAATTTACAATCTAAAGGAATGTTAGGAGCAACAATATATACCTATAATTTA